GAAATACGCATTTCACGGAAAAATGTCTTAAATAAAAGGTTAATGTGACTAAAGGGGACATTATTTGGTGCTACCGCTAGCCACCCCATACCCCTCCTTAAGGGTGAAACGGGGGGTAACTTTGGAAAGTCAAATAGAATGACCCGATTTTTTTCACAGAGTTTGGTAGTACATAAAAAAATAAATAACTTTTATTTAAAACTTTTTTCAATTTATCAACAGATGGCGCTGTAATTCAAAATTTAAGAAAAATGAGTTTCCTTGTAAAATGTATTATTTGAAACGTTTGAAAAACAAAAATTAACATTAACAACAATATTCGGCTATGAAAACAATTTATAACAAATGTTCGAAATGTCGTCATTCCATTTCAACACATTTTTGAATGCGGGTAATGAATTCTGGCACACAACGCGCCAACATATCGGGCGGTATCGCCGCACAGGCTTTCCTGATCCGCTCCACCATGTCCTCCCAAGTTGTAGGAATTGTAGCGTAAACTTTTTCTTTCAAGTAACCCCACTGGAAGAAGTCTGGTGGCGTAAGATCAGGTGATCGAGCAGGCCAAATTACTGGACCACGTCTACCGATGCACCGGCCATTGAACTCCCGATCCAACACCTCTCGAGCAATTGTCGAATAATGTGCAGGACAACCATCTTGCTGGTACCACATGTTTTGGAGCCGTGCTATTGGTACATCCTCCAAAAGGTCCGTCAGATCGTTTTCTAGAAAATTCCGGTACTTTTCGCCATTTAATGCACCGTCAATAAAGAAGGGTCCGATTAATCGTTCGCTTAAGGTACCGCACCAAACGTTTACCGACCAGGGACGCTGGTGCTCCACTTGGTGTCGAAATGGAAGGACGACATTTCGAACATTTGTTATAAATTGTTTTCAGAGCCGACTATTGTTGATTTAATGTTAATTTTTGTTTTTCAAACGTTTCAAATAATACATTTTACAAGGAAACCCCTTTTTCTTAAATTTTGAATTACAGCGCCATCTGTTGATAAATTGAAAAAAACTTTTAAATAAAAGTTATTGATTTTTTTATGTACTACCAAACTCTGTGAAAAAAATCGGGTCATTCCATTTGACTTTCCAAAGTTACCCCCCGTTTCACCCTTAAGGAGAGGTAGGGGGTGGCTAGCGGTAGCACCAAATAATGTCCCCTTTGGTCACATTAACCTTTTATTTAAGACATTTTTCCGTGAAATGCGTATTTCTCGAGATATTGAGCTGTCTCAAGTTAAAAGAAACACCCTGTATACTAATAATTGTAAAATTAATCCAATTTTTTTAGAACAGTCACAATTTCCAAAAATTTTAAAATTTACCAAATTTACAAAATTTCTTCAAAATTTACAAAATTCTTACTTACCCAAAATTCTTAAAAATTTTAAAATTTCAAAAATTAATAAAAATGGTGGGATTCGCAGTGCTTCAAAATTAAAAAAAAAGTGGGAAAATAACGTGCTTCTACTTACCGACACACACAATTTTTTAAAAAGGTATCACAAATTGTAAAATATCGCATAATGAATATTGGGCTTAAAAAAAGTAATTGCATTCTAAAAGTGACATATTACAATTGTCAATCAAATACTCATCTACACAGAAAAAAGATTATTTTTAAAACAAATAAAAAACTATTGTTCCAAGCAAATCTTAGTTTTCCATATACACAAATAAATGTTTTTTTCTTACAAGAAATTTATTTATTCGAATTGTAATGTTATGTTGAATCCCTAAAATTCTTAAATTGAAATTCGTCAATTTGCGGTTAAACTTTGTTAATTCTTATTCTGTAGCTATTACAATTTTGAGTTAAGACTATGTTTTCTTAAAATAAGCAGAATATTTTTCAAAAAACTATCGACATTTTTATAAAAAAAATCGTATTTTTAATTTGAAAATATACAGTGTTAAAGTAAAACCATTATATTCTTAAAATATCGGTTCATATGAAATTAATTTTAATTTTTACAGTGAAAATATAAAGCTGTTGTTCTCCAAATGATTAGAATACTGTTCTTTCTCCCTTTACAGGGATGCTTTTTCTGTAACTTGTTTGTTTGTTTTGTGTTTTAATAGAAACTTTCAATCTTGGGTAGAGGCAAAACCTGCAAAAAAAATTGCAGAAAAATATTCTTGGTAACCTAACACTGAATGAAGACCCAATATATCTCCAATTAAACAAGCGACAAGAAAATATACCACAATTTCACCACCGAGAACTTGCACCGATATGTAAAGAAGAACGCTACGCTGAGTCAAGACGAAGGGGAATCCCCCTTAGGGGATGGTACATTAGCGCATGCGTGGGTTTATTCAAAACAAACATACTCTTGAATCAAATATATTTTCTTGATTTAAAAATTGAGAATTTTTAAAGAAACCATATAACTATTCGAAATAAAAATTATATTCTATCTGAACAAATACATTTTGTCGTTGAAAATTTTCGCCCGTAAAAATCGTTAAATCAGTTCAAGAATAAGTTTTCTTTTCATTCAAACATTTTCTTATTCTTATGTTAAGTTGTTTAAAATTATTCCAAATGAAACCGTTATGTTCCAGTTAAAAAAATAATTTAAAGAAATAACATTTTCCCGGTAATCTTACCGTTTTTCTCCAAGGAAAAGCATAGTCTTAATTAGAACTGATTGTGTTTTGAATGAAGTAAACATTTTGAAAACAATAATTCTTCTTGAAATGAAATTTTATTTTTCTGTGTGTATGGACAATATTTAGTTCACATATTTAGATAGTTCACCCAGTCCTACCCTTTAGTTATAATTGTTAATAGGTATATAAGAAATTATTACATTGCAAAAACATGAAGCAACGTTACTTGTTATCATGATACTAAATAAGTCTTATGTAGTATCATGCTTGTTATCTTCCTGCAACATTGCATATGTAACTTGACGGCGAGGACAAAGAGATATTGCAATGTCTCTTTGTCTCTATATGGGTTATTATGCCGCGTTTTTTTGCCTGATTAAGAGCCGGTTTATTAATCTCTGGTTAAGTTCCAGTTTGTTTATCTGACAGTTAAATTCTTTACCGATCGTTGTGAGAACAATGGAAATTATCTGCTAGATATCTAACTGCAACTTTAACTGGACATTGATAAACCGGCCCTACGGCATACTGCTGTTTTGTAGTCTTTCCCAGCGCGTTTCATTTCATTACTCTTCTTTTATTGTTCGAAAGCTATTAAACAAAAACTCATTTATTTATTTTATTTTAACTTACTATAACTTAAATAGTTATTTGTTTTACAAGTGTTGAAAAGCGACTTTTTCATGCGAGTGTTTAAGTTGCTCACGAGGCCGCCAGGCCGAGTGTGCATCAACACGAGCTTGAAGAAAGCTTTTCTCACAAGTGAAACACAATGTTTTTTCTACGACCGTTTTATTTTTTATTATACGCTGTGACTAGAGGCACGCTAACGTGCCGCGTCATAAGAAAAATTCGTTTTTGTTCCCCGAGCGTTTTAAAATTGATTTCAAGCTAGATAGATTATATGATACCACGCATCTCCACCGTAGGGAGGCTCAAGAGGTGGAACCACACTTCCACGCGCCTCTTTGCAGCCAACCCCATCACCACATTGCGGCCTGTACTTATTTACTCTTTATATATTTTGTAATTATTTAATTGAAAAATAAATTGATTTTGATTTTGATTTTGCGTTCGCATGGCATGCGAGAGGAACCGGGTTCAATACTCAGAAGTTCTCGAAGTTTTTTTATTTTTTATTTCATAAATTTGTTGTTTTTTCATTAAAAAGTGTTGGGTTGGGTTGGTTGGTTTGTTTTAATTTTGTCGTAACATAAAATCTACTAGAAGTTGTCGAACTTTTTTTATTTTTTTTATTTTATAAATTTGTGTGTGTTGGGTTGGGTTGGTTGGTTTGTTTTAGTTTTATCGTAACATAAAATCTTAAAATCATGACGTAGGTAACTAACGTGCCTTTAATATTTCGAATCGCGGCACGTTAGCGTCACAGCGTTTAATATATTCAAATACAAAACAATATAACCTAAAAAAACTTTGACAGCTGTTAAAATTACTTTCATCTTATTTTTTTAATTTTTAAGGTATAATTATACTGGAATTTATTATACAAACACAATTAATTTTGTTCTAAATGATATTTAGACATACATATCCAAATACAATACAAATTTTGAAACCAATGTCAAACGATGCTGTCAATTTCTTTTCACACAAACCTGTCACTTTTCACACAGGAATATTCCTGTCACTCTACATTCGTGTTTTGCCTTGCCAATGAAAAGATTCATTTTCTAAGCAACGATGCCATTACGAAATGTGACTTTTACATAGTGGTCGTAGAAAAAACAACAAAATTAACTGTAACAAAAATATTATTTTTTGACTATTAGGACTCCATTATTTAATTTTTTCCCAACCATTATGTTACACCCTGTATATTTAGTGAAAAGCGGATACACACAGGTATCAAAAGGATTTAACCATTGATTGATTTCACTTAAGGATTTAACAGTTGGTAGGTAGGTAAGTAAATGTTATAAAAACTTCTTAGGGACTTCTAAAAATTAAAAGGGCAAGAAGACTTGGTATGGAATGACCCAAATAAAACATATTAGATACACGCCAATGATTCGATATAAGTGATTAAAATTGATGGAAAATGTTTTATAAATTGATCCAATTATAATGCATTGTGTTTGTCTTCTTAATACTTAAGGGAACATTAATTCTTATTCAATTAAAAACTTTCAACAAACTTATGTTATTAAGGGTATTATTTAATAGTTCTTTGCATTTTAGGGTTAATTAGGGTATACGAATGTTGATACATTAAAAAACAGATGTATTATATATAAATATAGGTAAACAATTATTTTAATTTTAATTGATATGCAAGTATTAACATATTTTTATTGAAATAAATTACCTATATATTTATTTCATTTATTTTTAACAGAAAAAATACTTACAAATAATTAACCCAATAATCTTGAAATTAAAATCCATTGTGTGCAATCACGTTACATAAATACTATAAACATAAACTCGCGAAAAATTTTGAAATATCGTTCGAAATATATTCGCGTCGGGATTTTTAGACGCTGAACTAAACTTTGTTATAAATACGCGCCTAATATTTGAGAATAACTTAGAAACTGATCATGCGCTAAGGCCGATGTGGGAGGACCTAAACATGAACACCTAATGGACATGCATGTTTTTTATAATATGTCAAATATTATTTTTGTTTACAGTTATTGTCATAAATCATGAAGTACCTACGTGGAAAATACAAAACAAGTTCATATGTATAATATTTATAAATTATTTACTATTCATACATAACTCACTATAGAAAATATTCTATAATATTAAATATAAGAGAGTAACAATCTAGTACATAGATACAAGTAATATATTCTAATGTGTATTACCTAATTAATAAGTATCTATAATAAAATTTATTATTAGCAAAAAGTTATTTAGCTTGTTTTAACAATAAACGATTCATTGAACAACTTGTAGAACTTATAAGTTGGACTATAATAGTCCAATTGAATCTTTGTTAACCTTGCATAGTACCCACAGTCTGTGCATAGTACCAGAAGAAATTATATTTCTTTTGAGTAAACCACCGGCGCGCCGGACAAAAAATGTAACAGATTGAGAAGTGGCAATCACAGAGTCTGTGACACAGACCAGGTCTGTTATTGAAATGGACTGATTCGCCCCACCCACAATGAAAATTAACTGAAATATTTATAACTATAGTTATTATGCATAATGACTGTTTTCGAATAATGGCGGTTTCATTGAAAATATGAAAGTAGATATAATCCATTTTGAAATTCATGTAAAAATCAGTACTCATAAAAAAACTATAAATATTCTTATGTGAAATCAAATGCTTTACAAAAAAGCCTCTTAAGAGTTTTGGCTAAATTCGCTCAATCAAAAGTTATTCAAGGTTAAAGTTGAAGTCAAAACGAAATTCTTGTCAAATTTAACCTTGAATAACTTTTGATGGAGTGAATTTAGCCAAAAATGTTAGAAGACTTTTTTTGTAGAGCATTTGATTTCCCATAAGAATATTTATCGGTTTTTTTCTGGGTACTGATTTTTACATGAATTACAAAATTCCAAAGTTAAAAGATCAAAATGTAAAACTATACCAATTTTTAAGGCATGATTTTAAGGAAACGGTTCATCTGACGAAAAATTTCATTTAACCTTTTTTGTAGAGAATTTAATTTTCTTAAAAAAATATTTTTAAGTAAATTTTGTTAAACTCAATGGTTTGGGAGTTCTGAGACAAAAACTTGATGAGGAAAAAAAATTAAATTTGCGATGATAGACCTCTTAATATTAATATTATGGACTCAAACTTTCACAATAATTTTTTTTTGTCGCCCCAAACCATATTTTCGATATACTTTTAAAAAAAAAAAATAGTTGATTTTTTTGGCCGAGTCTAGTATATGTAATAAAAAAAACGTTTAGATCATAAACATTTGTCTTATAATTTCTGTGACATCAGTACTTTCGAAGATAAGTAGGTACTTACATAAAGGGCTTACCAATACCCAGTCCCAAAGACTATAGATTTTAGTCATTTTGATAACGTGTTGCAACAGAAAAAATTATATTTTTCATGTTTAATCTCCAAAATGTATTTTTGTTTTATATTTTTAATACACATGCAGTTTCTATGAAAATATTTTTTGCCTTTTTTGATCCATAAAAAAATACTTATACGTCAATTTTAAACGTATCAGGTACATTTTGCACGACGACTAAAATACGGTACTATAATGACGTAATTATTATCTCCCAATCGTCACAGACGTCATTTGATTACGCCAGGGGCAGTGACGGCTGATGGATTTTGGGCACACCCATATCTCAGTTATTAGACATGGGACCCATATCAAATTTATATGAGTTTATAAATGACATTATATAGACAGTTCTGCGCAAGCAGAATTCAAATTGAAGTTTGCGGAAAAAAGTTAGTTTTTAAGTGTGCCCCCCCAGCCTCCTGCCCCCTCAAATTAAGATAATTCAAATTAAAGTGCTACAATATTTAATTCACAAAAGTTTATCGACAAATTTCAAATTTTATTAAAAAAATTCAAGTATATTTTATACCATTTCTATTTTTTTTTAAATTTAGTAAAATAAATAATAAAAATTTAAAATGGTATAAAACCTGTATTTCTTGAAATTTTTTAATAAAATTTGAAATTTGTCGATAAATTTCAGTGAATTAAATATTGTACCACTTTAATTTGAATTATCTTAATTTGGGGGGGGGCAGGAGGCTGGGGAGCACACTTAAAAACTAACTTTAATTTGAATTCTGCTTGCGCCGAACTTGTCTATATAATGTCATTGTAAACTCATATAAATTTGATGTGGGTCCCATGTCTAATAACTGAGATATGGGTGTGCCCAAAATCCACCAGCCGCCACGGAATCCTGGGAATATTCCTGACATGTGCAGGGAATGGGATTTTGCGGTCTGGGTAGGTATTTAAGATTTCTTTCAAATGAATCCAACAAACACACAAAAATAATGGCGGATGACGCGGTAGTTTCGACTTCGAGCCACGTGTTCGGCGCGAAGCTCTTCTAAATTTCATTTCAAATCAACCAAAAAAAATTTGTTTTCAATATCTCCGATTTTGATTATTTAAGGTAAAGTTGTTCTACGTCCTGAAAAACTCAAAAACCCAAAATTTTAATTTTTTTTGAACTGTAGTTTTTCTTTTATGGATTTTTAAAAATCAAGAAATTTACCAATTTTGCCTCTGCAGGCTCTTAAAACAACAGATATAGGTATCTCAGGAACTACTTAAACAGAGCATTGAGTAATAGCTTGTTTTAAAGGTATAAGCCCTTTCAGATAAGTAATCACATGATAATATCAGTATCAGTATATTATACTTTTTCTTAAAAAAAATGGGAATTTTTAAAAAAAGAGTTTTTTGTACGAAGGCGTAGAAGGGCCAACAAAAATTTTACAAATTTTAGCCAAAACTAACTTTGATTTTTGCAATTTCTATTCTATAATTCTAACTTGAACCTACAATTGTAACTTGAACTTACAATGGGGTAGTTAAATTTTTTCTGACCTATACTTTATATGGTTTTATTCAAGGCGTTTTGTAATTTTAAACATTTCTGTGAAATCGGAATTTCAATTGAGTTTACCGTTTTCGAGATATTTACAAAACAAAATCTCCTAATTACGTCACTAGGCTATTGACAACGTTGCCAGCTTTTTCTATAGTTGCCAGTGTGTTCAGTTTAAGATTCTTGCGATAGATGGCGCCACGTTATAATATTTACATATAAAGGGTGATTTTTTAAGTGTGTCCGAACTTCTGACAAGTGTCGCTGTCAAACAAACTTTCAATTTTCATGCATTTAGAAACTAAGTTACTCAGTATAGTCTGACAAATTATCATGGAACGTTTAACGCTTACAAATTGTCGAAATTTACCATCAAAACCATTGTTTTGTGCGCCAAACTTATCATGCTCTTCGTGAATTTTATGGTATATATACGCCCAATCGAGCGATGTATTCGCCGAATCATCAACAAATTTCAAAAGAACTTCACCCTGTTAGGTATTAAAATAAAGACAAGAACAAAAACAGTGCGTTTCCAAGAAAATATCATCGCTGTTATCGACAGTGATGAGAAACACCCAAATTTGTCAATTCGTCGACGTTCGCAGAAAGTTGGGCTTTGTTATTGAACTACGTGAAAAATTTTGTGGAAATATCTTTATTTTCTTTGGGGAAAATGTTAAATCTTTGGTATATGTAAATAAACCAGCAACTATTCAAGACTTGGAAGCTAACATAACTCGGACAAATGCGTAAATAAGACCTAAATTGCTTGATAAAGTGGTCGGAAATTGGATTAATATAATTCGCTTTGTTACAAGTAGCCGCGGAGGACATTTGTCCGAAATTATTTTTAAACAATAATGTCATTGAATGTTATTTCATATAAAATAAATATTTTTAAGATATTTAATTTGGTTGTTATTTAATTTGAATTTAAAGTTCGGACACTCTAAAAAAATCACCCTTTACTTACCAAGTATATGAATATTTAAGTTGAGAAGAAGAAGAAGAATTGATTTTTTGACGTTTCTTTTTTTCGGGTTGTTTTTTTTAAATTTAGATTATTGAAAATCATTGTTATTGCTATGTTATTTGTAATTGATATTAGATAAGTGATTTATTAATAACGGACTCCAAAGCAGAGGAATCTTGTGGAATGGTTGGTTACATTGAACATTGGAGCTTTTAAACAAATAAAGTAAGTACCTATAATTATAATCATATTTTGTCGTAAATGCATTTCATTAGTATAATGCCTAGTTCTTTATATTCTTTTAGATATATTATTATTTTTAGTAAATTTATTTCATTCATTTTCAGCTTTATTTTGCCACTTTTTTCTATAAAATATATTAAACTCGGCTTTAGACAGTTATTAGGTACCTATTTATTACATTTTATTAGTTTTCACACGGTGTTTCAATGTGTAAACCTATCAATAAAACTTTTAATTTCAGAATTTTCTTTAACCTCCTCTTCTTCTTTCACTCAACTGACAGCATAGAAAAAGAATATGACTGACAGTGACAGTATTTGTACATAACCTCTTCGGGTATTTTCTGACATAACCGAATGAAATCATTAACAAGACAACTTGACAACAGTGTAATTTTCAACCAATAGAAATCTTAGAATGTTGGTCACATGGCGGGGTTTGTGACGTCATAAAAATTTATATTTTTTGTAAATATCTCGAAAACGGTAAACTCAATTGAAATTCTGATTTCACAGAAATGTTTAATATTACCAAACGCCTTGAATAAAACCATAAAAAGTATAGGTCAGAAAAAATTTAACTACCCCATTGTAACTTGAACCTACAATTGTAACTTGAACTTACAATTGTAACTTGAACCTACAATTGTAACTTGAACCTACAATTGTAACTTGAACTTACAATTGTAACTTGAACCTACAATTGTAACTTGAACTTACAATTGTAACTTGAACCTACAATTGTAACTTGAACTTACAATTG